CTTATTACATGTCTCGGATTTCAGGAATCAGAACTTGACCCTCATGATTACTTGGCATTCTCTGTCTTTAAATACTTCCAAACTATTCTGTGTATTAAGATTGAGTAGTCTGGAGTTTAGAAGTCTTCTGGCCTTTAAAAGTCAACAGCTAACTTTAGGATTACATTCCAGCCTGAAATTTTGCCCTGTGTTACCTTTTGTGCTTGAAGAATGTAATTTTTCTGCAAATCATGTTTCATTTTGACATCTATTCTGCTGTTTGGCTTATCTAAACGGTTCTTGAATTGGTATGATACGATTTTAATACTATTGTGTCTTGAAACGTGATTTTATTCCCTCTTTCTCTTGAGGTTTATCCATCAATGCATTTAGTCTACTAGATGCCTCCTTTCTTGGATTATACTGCTTGAAATCTTCATTTCCACAATGCCTGTGTGCTATACTAATTTAATAATGCTTTTTAAATTTTTCATCCCAAACTATGGCATGGGGCAGGCAGGTATTTAGGTGGGAGGGTGCGGTGGAAGGAATGCAAAGGTGTGAATGCAAAGGAAAGTGTTTTGCATGTAGTTTAAGAACATGGTAATTGTGTGTGTTTGGGAAGGAGGCAGGCCCCCTCTGGCAGATGTTCTGCAAAATGCTGCATTATATATTGGTGTTTCTCATTTGGCCCTAGGTAGGTAATAATTAGTCCCATGATAAGAGTATCTGGCCTTCATGATAACCTTGAAGGGCTGAAAAAGATGTGCTGATGCTGTTGACAGTGCAGCTGAACAGTGAGAGAAACATGTAACCCCTAACAGTCAAATGCCTGGTTTATCTTAATTGTGATCCTTGGTGGATTTATGAAGTCCTTGACTCTGCTGTGCTAGCTAAGTAGGTTTTTTGGAACATAGAGATTACAGTACTCTGCAGTCATTGCATAATCGTAAGGTCTGAGCTGTCCACTGCAGAGGCTCAATCAAAGACTGCCGGGAGTAAAGTGGGACAACTACGAAGTCATCTCAGTATGGTCAACCTTGGGTTCTTGTAACAAAAACTAAAAACTCTTCATGGGACTCACTCTGGCATTAAGCAATTAGGTGACATTTATTCTTAGGATTGTATTATGGCATTTGCAGTCCTTCATGACAAACTGAAATTGTCAGATGGTTGATTCCTCAAAAGGCTCTGTCTCAAGATGTCTGATGAAATAAATTACTGGGGTTGTCTGAACGATGGTATGTTGACACTCAGGTGGCTTTTATAAAATAAGCTGTTTCACATCATGCTTCTGTAATATGCTTTGACAACTTGAAGTTGGAGGTCAAGGCTTCTGAAAAGTGTATGAAGTAGCACTTCATCCTTCAGAAAGGGCAAGGTTTATATACTATATATATATAAATATGATCTATATACTATGTATGTATATATATGATCCACCAAAGGAGGAATTTCTCATCTGCGGGGTCCCCTTTAATGTGTCGTTGTACAATCTTGTGATGGTGTGTTGAAATCGCGAGAGATCGTAATCCTCTTTCAAGAGTGCTAAATTGAGAGATCTAGAACTCAAGTATTCTATTCTAACAGAGCTTGTGTTGCATAGCTTTTGGCCGTTATATATTCCTTTAAAGTGAAAGCATTTATTTTCTCTTCTATAAATAAACTGCAAATGTTTATTTTTCTGTTCCTGATCAAAGTGAATGTTCATTTATTGAAATGGGAATGAAATGGTTCGTAAGTGCTTGTTTTAACATTTTCTAAAATCTATCCTTATCTTTTGTCCTGAATTTGAGACAATTACAAGCCAAGTTACATATTCAATAAGAACCAATTCTCAAGTAATATGTTTAAACTGGATATGCTCACTTTTTTGTGTTGGTAGAGAACCCTGAGTGGTACTACCACACTGATAGTGGTTGGATTATAGCAATAGTATGTAATATGGTGAGATGAAAAACAGACTTATTTTAGCAGAAGTGAAAATGAGGTCTTATGGCTAAGGTCCTCCTTCACTCAACTTTCTGTCTGTTTCTTTTCTTGTTTTCTCTCTCCTCAGGAATCCCAGCAGATGCTTGGAAGATTGATTCCAGAAAAGCAATTGCTTAATGACCAGCTAAAGCAAGTTCAACAGAACAGTTTGCACAGTAAGTCTGTTTTTGTAATGCATAAGTTTTTGCAGGACGAGATGCTGCATTGCACAGTGTACTAATTTCTTTTTTTGTGCTGTAAGATGCGTGCTGAAAAGTGTTGCTTTCTATGGCCTAAAATTCTCTGTGTAAGAAAATAAGTATTTGACGATATTTTTAAAAACAGGAGATTCTCTTCTTACTATCAAAAGAGCCTTAGAAGCCAAGGAACTAGCACGTCAACAGCTTCGAGACCAGCTAGATGAAGTAGAAAAAGAAACCAGATCTAAACTTCAGGAAATTGATATTTTCAATAATCAACTGAAGGTAATCTTAGACTTTTTAATCCTTTCTTCTAACTGGTCAGTTAATTCTTTTCTAACTTGATCATGGAAAAAACAAAGGATTAGAATAATTGATTTAGAATGTCAGCTGTGGAACATTCTCTATTATTTTAATTTTTTTTAGAAGAAAATACTACTTAGCATCCAAACTCAGAGTTTGAATCAACCTAATCTGTAGAATTTGAGCTCTGATTCCAGATCTGTGATTGATGCAAAAGTGCAGAAACTGGCAATTTCATACTTGCAAAGAAGTGCAAGACTGTAGTAGTAGCTCAGCAAATCAGCTGGAATCAGTAGTTCAAATTGAAATCTTTGTTGAAGAGACTTGATTTTCTACTGACACGCAGAATTTTTATCTGCTGTTGTAAACTCATACTTGTTCCTGAATGTAGTTGTCTGTTGTTTGTGGTTTCATGCTTTAGTGATCAGTCTCTTGTTGAAGCTGTGTGCTTTTTGTTTATTTCCGCATAAGAAAATTGCAGGAATTGCAAAAGTCAGTAAAGGAAGTGTTCTTTGGAGAGGACTTACAGCTCAGTCTTTAGTTACGAACTTCTAACAGTGTTCAATTTGTCACAAAAAGTTTTAATGTTGAAGTACTTCACCTGCTAATTCATCTGATGGTTTCTCCTGAGAGCTGACTAGAAAAATACTCAATTTCCTGCAGGGTATCATAAATTGAGCTACAAGTATATAGAAGGAAAAGCACTACAATAGATAAATGAATGTTTCTGTAGCTGTGTGAAATTAGATCAACTATGATTACATCATATGATTTAGGATGGAAGGCATGTTTGAAGTTTAGCAACAAATATCTTGTTTTAATATTAAATTTATTAAGAATTATAGGAAAAATTAAAGGCTGTAGACCATATCACTACATACCACTACCTCTTTTAATGCCAATTCAAAGATGACTCTCATGGTCTTAGGCAGGGAGGTAGAAAGGGGAGAATTTCTGCAAAGTCCTAAAAGACACAAGACAAAATAAATAGCAAATGTTTTGTTTAAGGGAAAAAAATAAAACACTTTTTCTTTTTAATATATATAGGCTTTTTGGACACATCTCATGCTTTTCGGGTAATTTTTTTTTTTTAATTTTATTTTTAAATGAAATCGTTTTGAATTGTTTTGCAGATAAATATGACCAAAGGATGTTAATTCTAAAATTTGTGTCAGCATTCAGTTTGATTGTAAATGAGCTAAACAGCTTATAAAATGGCAGGGGGTGACTAATCTTGTATTGTGACAGTAGCAAAAAAACCTCAAAAACAAACAATCAAAAAAAAACCCAGCACAAAATCAACCAAACAAAAACACCTCAATATTTTAAATACTGAAGGGCTCGACTTAAAAATATCATGCTAGTAATAATTAAAAATTGAAAATGCACATTAAACCAAGACGTCAATTTACCAGAATGTCTGCTGTCTATCCAAGAATGCCTTGTCTAGTTGTAAGCTATTTTGCAGTTTAATGGGAAAATTGATTTCTGTGTTCAAATATTAGTATTTAGAGTTATCACTTGATGTAGGCAGTTCTTTGAGGAAACTTCAGGAAGCTTCCCCTGGCCTGAGGATATTGTGTCCTTCATTTCGTAACGTGTAGAAGCAGTGCTTAGTAGGAAGACCACTTTGTGATGCTGTATGTTAGTACAAAAAGCCTTGCTGAGGTTGCTTTGCTTGCTTGGAAGAAGTGAGTTTAAGAGGTGAAAGCAAGGGAGTGGGGCAGTTATTCTACTGAAATGGAGAGGTGGGAGCTTAATTCAGAGAGAGTTTTATCTTCTCTCTTTTGGAGTTTCACTAGATGCACAAGATGTATTTTGCGGGGGGACTGGATGTTTTTATTACTAGATTTAAAGATCTACGAAGGCATGTGTACCTTCTTCCTGGTTCAGGATGGAATGGTTGTAGTACTCCCATTGCCAGAGAGAAAGCTTGGGAGATGATGAGTGTGCAGCAGTGATTTATGGCTGCTCTTCTTGTGGAGGGAGCTCTTGGGACACCATGCACATGAGACAGCTATTGAAAGCTTTTCTGAGACCCTTAGTTTGATTAGGGTTTGTGTGAAGTGGAAGTTCTGCTCTTAAGGCAGAACACTCCCATCTCTTGAGCAATAATATTGCTCAAAATGAAGTCGTCTAGGAACTTGTGTAATTCTCAGATACTTTTTATGTAAACAATCAAGCGTCTTTGACAACTTTTAGGAACTGCCAATGGAAAGATGACTGCTACATTTTAATTTCTTAGAAAATTGTGTATAAATAATTGCCAAGTTAATAGTTTTCCCAATTAACAGAGAACTTTATTTACTTACTGTGTTAGTAACTGGGTGCATAAATGCAGCAGGCTCCTATGGTTATAAAAGACCTAGCAGTTTGTATAACTATCAGTCAAATGAATACTACTCACAGTTAAATGTAAACCTTTTCAAATCATGTATCAAAAATTCTACAACAGCTGAGCCCTAGATATAATAAAGGCTTCTTATCTTGTAAATTTAAGGGGAAATATGTAAAGATGGGAAATATAAAAAGTTATTTATTTTTTGAAATAATTTTTATTAAAAAAATTTAAACTCAATTTTTAATCCAGGCGGTTCCTAAATTATCTTGTAGGTTTAAAACTTTTTAAATGAAGATCTGTTCTTACTTTGTGCTTCAGTATATGAACTGAGAGTTGCACACTTAATGGAATGGCTGTTAGGATGGCAGCGCCATGATTGATGTGCAGCTTTTGTTCTTTGAGAAGTGATGGAGCAGCACTGGTGCTTGCTTTGTCTTCTGTAATACAGAACTAGCTTCTGGACAAGAAGCAGAATGATGCAGTACAGTTTCTGAACCCCAAGAAAAGAAAAACATATCTAAAAACTCTTCAGGTGTATACTGTCTTACAGCACTTTGCATTTAATTACAGAATCATAGAATCACAGAATGGTTTGGGTTGGAAGGGACCTTAAAGACCATGTAGTTCCAACCCCCCTGCCATGGGCAGGGACACCTTCCACTAGACCAGGTTGCTCAAAGCCTCATCCAGCCTGGCCTTGAACACTTCCAGGGATGGGGCATCCACAGCTTCTCGGGGCAACCTGGTCCAAAGCCTCACCACCCTCTCCAGGAAGAACTTCTTCCTGATATCCAATCTAAACCTCCCCACTTTCAGTTTAAACCCGTTACCCCTTGTCCTGTCACTACAGACCCTTGTAAATAGTCCCCCCCAGCTTCCTTGTAGCCCCTTCAGGTACTGGAAGGTGCTATAAGGTCTCCCCAGAGCCTTCTCTTCTCCAGGCTGAACAAGCCCAACTCTCTCAGCCTGTCCCCGTAGCAGAGGTGCTCCAGCCCTCGGAGCATCTTCGTGGCCTCCTCTGGACTTGCGCCAACCAGTCTATATCCTCCTTATGTTGAGGGCTCCACAGCTGGATGCAGTAGTCCAGGTGGGGTCTCACAAGAGCAGAATAGAGAGGGAGAATGCCATTCCCTGTTGTCCCTCCAACAGATATCGGGGTGGTTGAATTTTCCCATGAGGACCAGGGTATGTGAATGTGAGGCAGTTGCTATCTGTCTGCAGATGGACTCATTCACTCATTCATCCTGGCCAGGTGGCCTGTAGCAAACTCCTACTACTGTATCCCCTCTCCCTGCCCTCCCTTTAATCCTGACCTGTCAGCTCCTCATCCATGCCCAGGTGAAGTTCCACACACTCCAGCTGGTCTCTGACATAGAGAACAACACCCCCTCCATGTCTCTTCTGCCTGTCTTTTGTGAAGAGCCTGTATCCTTCCATTCTGACACTCCAGTCGTGGGAGCCATCCCACCGTATTTCTACGATGCCAATGAGGACGTAGCCCCTCGCTGGTGTGCACACCTCCAGCTCCTCTTGCTTGTTCCCCATGCTCTCTGCGTTTGCATAGAGGCATTTAAGGTGGTCCCCCCATAAATTTGGCTTGTGGACTGGAGCATCTAGAATTCCCCTGTTTTGCCTGCCAGGTGTTCTCCTGGTGGGCAGTGATTCTTCTCCAGGCTCTAGGCATCTCTTGGTGTCCCTGCTGGTTTTGCCCCCCTCCCCCTTCCAACCTAGGTTAAAGCCCTGCCAATTCATGGGCTAGAATCGTTTGTCCCCTTTGAGACCACTGGAGACCATCTGTCACCACCCAGCCTGGTGCCATATTAACCTTCCTATGCTCAAGGAACCCACAGCTCCACCGTTCTCACCAGCCTCTGAGCCATGCATTGAGCAGGTGTGATTTCTGTTTCTCTCAATACTCCTCCCTGCTGCTGAAGGGATGGAGAACGCTCCCTGTGCTCCCAATCCTGCAACCATTTGCCCGAGTGCCCTGAAGTCTCTTTTGATGGCTTTTGGGTTCCTCTCCTTGAGCTCATCACTGCCCACCTGCATTACCAACAGAGGGTAATTGTCAGAGGGCGTTGTCAGTCCAGGGAGTTTCCTGGTGATGTCCCTAACCTCAGCCCCAGGGATGCCCAGACTTCTCTGTCCGATGGGTCTGGGCGGCATGTCAGGCCCTCTGTTCCTCTCAGAAGAGAATCACCTACAACAATGACCTTCCTTCTTTTTTTAACGGAGGCTGTTGTAATGTAATGTAATGTGTGGGGCTGATGGGGTTGTCCTGTGCAGCTCCCAGGAAGGACCTTCCTCTGTAATTGCCTGTCCTCAAGTTGCAGAGCCCCATATCTATTCTGCAGGGGCAGCTGGGCAGGGGAGGGAGGGCAGGAGGGGATGTGCCTATTTCGCCAAGCAGGGGCCCGTTTCCATTCTGCTCCTTCTCTTAAGTTGTTCTTAAGTACCTCTGACTGGGAGAAGAAGCAATACATGCCTTTCTTTACGTAGTCAAAATGCTTAATATAATAGATAACAGAACCAAATTTGTAAATATGTAAGCTATTGCTCTCTGAATACAAAGTACATGCCAAACTAGTTTTGGTGAAATGCTTAAGAGACAGTGAAGTTGCCAACAACATTGGATTGTAAT